ACACTATATATATAATTACTTAGTTTATATCATATATAAATTTACTTCAATTGACAAACAAAAAACACTGGCATAATTACTTATCTATATCAACGTCTTCTTAATTCTCGGGTAACACTGTTACTAAGAAAAATAATTTCGAAAGGACACATGAAAATTAAAACGTTTATTTGTGATGATTTTTTAGATTTTCTTTTTATATAAACCGAATGGACTTCCAGTTTTAAAACATAGTATAATGTATGTGGATATGTAATTCTATGAAAATCGCTAAATTTTAAAAGTAGGCCAAATACAGAAGAATGATATGGGCTGCTGAATTTTCTTCTAAAGTGCTAGAATATTACAACATTTATGTAATTTTTTTCAACAGAAGACAATGGTATTCTTATTAACTCAATATTTTTGAGATAATATAGTGTACTTTCCAAAGGAGAATATTAAACCAATACAAAATAAATTAATTAATCTTAATATATTACCTTCACATTTATTTCTTATTTACAGAGGCAAATATGCTGTATCGGTTAAAGTGCTCTATAGCACGCAGGATAATTTAAAGCAATGAATGATAGTTTCTTCTCATATCATTTTACTTAGCTGCAGAATTGTTGCTTTCCGAATATTATATATTCAAAGACCGGAGAGCTGTAACAGCGCCACCCATTGACAGAAATGTAATTATGTAGGTACATGTATACTAGTCTAGTAATATATATTAACTGCGCACAAAGACAGTGCGCTTTTTTTCGCTTTATTTCAAAGTGCCATCTCAAAATATTATTAACCTTGTGTTCCTTACATATTTTCCCGCCGTGTCTGCAACAAAACATTTCTTATTATTTGTTAATAGCCCTCCTAAAATTGAGGCCATCGAAAATTTCGTCTATTGTATTTACAGTACAGTGTACTGGTATTTTGGTTTGCAAGCTAATGCGGTCCAACGCACTTTTTAACCTCGCAGATGTCACTTATGAGAGTGAGGTGTAAGGAATTTGTTAAGGTTTATCTTTTTTGTATGCAATTGTAGTAAGAATTTGGGAGAAATGAACCCAGAACCGAGCGCAACTTTTTTGTGTGCAAAAAATACATAGTTTAGCTATGTATTGTAATGTACATGTACATTAGCTCTCTGGTCTGTCGATATATTTTTTTCCGGAGAGCTACAGTTCTGCAGCTACATTTTACTCGGAAAACGATTCATAAGCGTAGTTTGGCCCTTTGCCGTTCGTCAAGTATAGTCAGGGGAAAATTGTCTTGCTTTGGGAAACATTTTATGAACTAACCCTATAAAATATCAATAAAGAAAATCATTTAATAATCACTTGCATAATTGATTTTGAAATCAACGGATGACCGATGATCGATTTTATTGGGAAAGAGGTACAGCGAGAATGACTTTAACAGAAAGAATCATTAAAAGACCTCAAAAAACCTTTATCTTTCAGAGAATGGCTATTGTCAATCGATACTGCACAGGATGTGGTTAAAATATGCGTTTACGACTCTCCGAGTAACACCAATATAATTCAGACCGCATAAAAATAATCTATATATGCGGGGTTTTTTCTAAAAACGGTTGCAAAGAAAGGTTATACGAGATGAAATGCTAGGGCACCCCTAATCGATATTTGGACAAAAAGAAAGTTGTCAGAAGAGAAAAATATATATTATGTTAGACTAAATACGGAATAATATTAAAAAGAGATAGCTGCATGGTCTCTGGGTATTGAAAATCCATTGGACTGGTTTTTTCAACTTGTTTTATTTAACAACAGAACTTTTCACCTGTCAAAAAATAATTGATGTTTATTTTCAATTTTTCTCTCCCTACTATGAAGTACGATTGTTTGATTTTTTTTTTTTGACAACTGATTAAGTAAATAATCTTTCAGACACACGTCCCATGCTGATTTTCCAAATATCTTATTCTAATTTCTTTACAAGTTCAGTTCTATTGAACAATTTGTAACGCCGTTATTTGAAATACAAAAATTTACTGTTCATTTCACAGACATCTTTAAAAAGAAATGGTAGCATGTCTTGTTAGGGAAATTGTGTGGATGTTATTTTTAGGGGGCGGGGAGGGGCTAGAGAGAAGGGAGTTCCGACTTGGGCTGATTGCTTTTATTATCACCAACGTTTATAAATGAAATAATCCATGTTTCACTTCATTCAGTAAAGGTGTATTTTTTTTTCCAGGAGCCAGTCCTTAATTCGAATTCCTGTCTCAAAAGTATTAGTAAACCTTCTTCAAGTCCAACAGCATTGTACCTGCATATATAGTCCTCAATGAAAAATATATACATAAATGAAGAATACATTTTTGTTATCATTGAATAGTTTGGAGAGCTCTCTCGTACGATAATGGCGAGGTTTTCCTATTTGTCCTATTAGATTCTGTATCTTATCTTTCGCGCAAGGAGGCTTCAATTTTCAAGGGTGTGCAAATAAATTCCTACCGTTATTTATTTACCCGAGACTTCATATCGAGTTTACATTTCGGAAATCAATAAATATATATACGAATAAACAATAAGAAGTTCCCATCATTTTTCAAAAATATGTCAAATTATTTTCATTGGTATACCAGTTCCAAACGATAAATTTTATCTATAGAATAAATATACCGGTAAAACGGACTGTTGAATATAAATTATATTTGCGTAGACCCCAGATTAAAACTTTTTAAGCATTATTCATTTTTCCTGTCTATGCAAACTAAATATGGATTCAACCCCATTCAGTTTAAAAAATGCCAAAGAGCTCTTGAACATGTTAAACGATAAAATTATGAAGGGTTCATGTCAAACTTACATTAGCATTTTTCAATGGGCTTGTCAGATTTCATAAAAGAAAATTTTTGTTAATCGGCACTCGTGAAACCAAACAAGTGAGTTTGCAGAGAGCTTCATATATACAATGTGTCCAGTCTATGTAATAACTTATCTCCGCAGGTGAAAATGCAGAAAGCTGTTTGACTTTTAAGTAATTATATTCAAAGACTCTTACAAAGCCGGTCTACAAACACTATGTAAAGTTTACAAAGCGAAATTGAGTCTTTGTTCAAGATCCTAACTCGTGTTTATTTCATGCAAGGAAAATACTGGGCTCGGCTTTTTTTTAAATACACCATCGTGTATGTAAATACAATCCCATTAAGAATCTTTAAAATGGAAATTATCATCCGAGGTGTTAATAGTAGATTTTTAAAGATAAAAAGAACTTCGGCATAAAGTATTTTCTATAGTCTTTTTGTGGTAGTAATACTTTCACTTAGCCCCCATTTTTCCTTCGATCCTAATTATTTTTCGCGCCACCACTGCTTTGAGCTCTTCAGATAATTAAAATGAAACAATGCGCAAGCTTTTAAAAATTATCAGTATAATTAATTTAAAAATTGAATATGTGCCCTTTAACAAATGCAGTTCAAGTTTTACAACCAGTACATATCTTATTCATACAAAAAAAAAAAAAATAATTAAAATTCGTCCTCATTTTTATTTTATCAAACCCTTTTAACCAGAAAGATTGGGGTTTTTTTTTATTAATGGGGCAAAACGCTATAAAAAACTTGTGATCTTAGCAACGCTAAATAATATATAAGTTTAAAGAAAATAGTCACACAGACTCACTGGAGTGGGCTATACGATGCAACAACTTGAAGTATTATGATACACCTCTGTCAAAGCACACCAGCCCAAATGTGACTAAATATAGTAAAAAATACTGGTACATGCAGTATATATAAGGACCCCAAAAGGTTCAAAATGAAATGTATACCCAGTGCAATTAGCTTATCCATGATTTAGCTGAATAATCCATTTAGGAGACACCCAAATAAAAATTTTGTAGAAGCTGTCTGTGAATCATTTTTTCTGTGTACAGGATCTTACAATGGTTATATACTTTAACACTGGATAATGACAACCGAGAAAGGACATTATTAATTAACATACTGTAAACCTATTACATGTACATTTAGCGGGGTATTCTTTTTAGAGATTTTGGCTGAAAGCAGAGTCCGTTAAATCAAGTACATTGCCTTGAATATCATACATTTATATCTATCTTATATTCAGATGGCGCTATATCAAATCTTCGCTATAATAAGTTTCTGCCAAATATCGTACATGGCAAATATAATACATTAACATTTAAATTGATTGATAATGACTCTGCAAAAGCAATTAAGAACCTGTCAAAGTGTTTATGTAACTAAACATTTCTTAGTAAATTAAAAATTTACTCTCAACCATATCAAAATATACATTTCAATTAAATCACAATATCATGATCTTTAACATTTTTTTTTTTTATTTTTTTTTTCAATAATTAACCACAAAATAACAATCTGCATATAATTCACATACTCTGTGAACATATCAACCAGTCTGAAACTTAAAGCACAATCATTCATGTGTACAAACTGAAAATAAAAAATACCGATTTCACTCATTAAACATGTTAAACAACAAATTTTAAACCACCTTTTTTTTCTTACAATATTGTAATGTTGTACAACCTTTGCCATACATTTCTGACATGTATTTTTTTTTTCAAATGGATGAGGAAGACTGCATTAGGGATTAGGTTGACAAATGAATGATGTACATGCAAATTTATCATTTCCATAAACTTGTAGCCAGTTATTCAAATATTATTTTAAATTGTTTAAACACATTAAAAAATACATTTGTTTCTCAACATATCTAAAAACACTTTTCATACCATATATGTATGCTAAACGACATATTATAATTTCACCTGCATTTTTCCAAATTTAATTAGGTGTCCATATTTAATCTATTTTTATTTTTTTGATTCTGGTCAAGTTCTTTTTAATATTCTTAAAAAAATTTTAAAAATATATTTTTTATCATCTTCTGTAAAACTGATAATGCTAACTTCAAAACTTTTCATATATGTCATGAAAAGCACAACAATGGATCATTGTGAACTGTCAAAACTGAACATTTTTCAAAAATATCAACGAATGCACTAACACTCCCCCCCATTCCTTTCTTTTTTCATATCCATCATTTTTTCTTCTTTCAGTTCAATGGCATTCCAAATGAAGACATTCAATCACTTCATGTTCCACCATCAACTTCATAAATACAGGTCTATTATGTCCCATCATGCATGTACACCACAGCATAATTATGCACTCGTTTTGATGACTCCCTGACCATCCATACAAACCCACAGAAAGGTACCACACACTTAAAGGAACCACAGAGATGGTACCCCCACATCAACTTGGTGGGTCCCGGGGTACCAGGCCCAGAACCTGCAGGCAACATGTGGCGGCCGCTGCTTTGGCGGATTTTTTGTTGTTCATCGCGATTGTGGGCTGGTACTCTGTCCTGTTGACTATTACCTGTAAAATATGGAAGACATAAAATAAGATTTACCCTAAAATGACAATGATGAAACATAGAGCTTTTTTTCCCCAACAATTATGGGCAAATAAAATGCTTTTGTACTTTATGCACTCAAAAGTGGTTCTGTCAAAAGGGAAACAACTCTTTTTTTACCCCCCAAAAAAGTGTTCAATTTTATGCAGATTTCAAAACACTGTGTTTATACTGTAATATTGTAATATTTCTATTCAGAATTTTTAAGTAAGCAGTATTTTGATCTACTTTCAAATAAATTCAAAACTTCTCAATTATAAATAGTCATACAACAAACCCAGTTTTCATACCTGCACTGGAAATTTTCAAATTGAATATATTGATCATCATCTAAAAATCATGCCTAACAAATGCAAAAACACTGTTTTACTTTGTGAGGGAAGGCAATTTCCAACTACGGAATATAAAACTTAAAACATCTAAGTTTATGATTCAGGACTTGCCTTAAACAGGAAGTTTTTCTTGTGATCTGGTCCGCTCTCGTGAACCAGCTCAAACACGGGGGCTCCCCACTTCCTTCTGTTACACAGCTCCACCAGGGCCGACACAGGATGTTTACCTGTAACCATAGCAACATCATAAAAGTAAAATATAACAAAACACACAGTGACCTTATGTATCTAAACAAACCAAAACAAATCTAAATTATTTTTTCAGACAAAACATTTTAGTTTCTGGTAAAAGGGGTGCCTATGAAGGTTTTTAAGTAGTTTTATTTGTAACTGTTCAATACCTCACCACAAGAGCACTACTAATTTTTTACCTGATAAATCTCTAACTACAGGAGCACCACCTTTGAAAGTTTTAGGCACTTGTTCTCCAGTGGATGTTAGTCCTGAAATATCAAACGAAAAATGATTAGCAATTGAAAAGGATTGAGTTACTAATTAAATGTACAACTACTTGGAATCTAGAATGTGCTTTAACAACATCTCATCATGTTGGGTTCAACTTCGTTTTCAATAACATCATTAAATTTGTCAGAAATAAAATCTACCAATTTATATCAATATGATTAAAATCTAAACTTTTTCAATGCAATATTTGAGTAACTTCAGTAGGTAAAAATTCATTGACTAAATATAAAGTCAAGGAAATGTTTGAATATCCAAATTTAAATTTTCAAAACTTTTAATTGTCATTCCAGACACTAAACTATCCTTTAATGTAAAATACTGAATTGAGTGCCCACCTCGCCTGTCTGTCTTGAAGTCAAGGGCCAGTGGTTCTACCGACCCCTCATTGTTCTTCCCCAGCCCCTCACCCTGCTTCCAGCCCATCTTCTGGAGGAGGGCCATTCCGATGCCGCTTTGGAGGGGGGCAGCCTTAACAAACTGGTCCTGCAAACACCCAGATATACATGTAATTAGACACAGAAAATGATTTTTTTTTATACAGATAACTGTTGAAAAAGGAAAAAAGTTATTCATTAATATAGCCTTTCTACTTCATTCTCTTTTTTATGCAAAAATGACATAAAAATTGATAATTTTAGGTATCTGTGATCAAGCTTTGAAATAATTTTCTCTCATTTCTTTAAACAGTGAAGCACTCATTATATACCCTAAACTATTGAAAGGAAAATTTTCTTTCAAATGATTTTATTTTTGAAATAGTTTACTTGATCACAGTACCTTCAGGGGTTTATAATATCTTCGATTCAGACTTCTGTAGATAATTTTTTTAACAACTTCAGTGGAATACTTGTTTTTAAATTCTTTCTGCTTAGCTTTAGTTTTCCTTTTCTACAATGTACAATTTTGAATTTCGAATCAACTGTATGTACTGCTTTTACAACAGAGAGTTTCTTTTACAACAGAAAGTTTCTTGAAGGGATCTACATATACACACAATCACAGTTCAAGATTAAAATTTTTAAACATGTATGGTCAATACAGAGCTAGCAAGGAACACTTGTAATCAATTCCATAGATTAAGCCTTCTCGCGTACATACATGTACCCATATTTTTTCTCCAAATATCAAAATCTAAAATCATGTTCTCATATGGTCAATGGCTCATCATAAAAAAACATTTTATATTGTTATCTGTCTAAAACAAACCTGTTGATAGACAACTCCAGTTCTGTTTTGCATCAAAACTGTGTTCTGCCCATTGTGGTAACTTACCACCCTCATTTAAATATCATCCAATCGGATTCCAGCAGCTAGTAGCTGAAACACAATTCAGCCAATCGAATTCCTGGAGCTAGTAGCTGAATCACAATTCAGCCAATCAGAATCCAGTGCAGCACGATTACCAATGGGTAACATCAAAATGTGTGCCAAATGTGGTAGGCTGTCAACTATGTATTTTGATTAAAGACCCTGAAACAAGTTCTCAGAAATGAAAATGCTGCCAAAGTATAGCTTGTGGACGTGTCAGAATAGATGCATTTCTGAATTTTGCATTTTTCATGAAAAAATTCAGATCTATTCTTTCCTTTACAGAAGAACAAGCTGTATATGGCAACATTTCAAATGAGAAATTGGGTTTCAGTTTTCTTTTCCTTTCAATGTATGATTCAGCTCAACATAATCATTTCTTCGAAAATTCAATTCACTTTACCCCCCCCCCCCACCCTCCTCCCCAAACATTTCCCTAATTTATATTTGCAGCAAAATGATCTTGTGAAGCTGAAGTCATACAGATGGTTAGCTGTATAGGGGTATGCCTCACACAATTGTCTTGCTTTACAAAAAATTAAAAAAAACCTGCAAAAAAAGTATAAACAAACAGGGCAATTGTGTGGGACATTTTTGTAAGACAAAACATGGCCTCCAAGGTGCAAGAGATTCAAAATTTCTTTCAAAAATCCTGATTTTACACAAAATATATAAACACCATCGAAAGAGATTCAGAAGTTTAGCTACATTTTCTATTTTTATCATTCCAACATGTCCCAAATCATTCCTCTTTTAATTTTTAACTGTTTAGCAAATTAAAACATGCACCAAGGAGACCAAAGATTTCTTTTAAAACAGCTTTCATCTTCTCTGCATCCAGGATTACGGTAGAGCTACAGTACGTGAATCTTTCTTTGGATGCCTGGAAGTAAACAGTTTGGCTGTATCAAACATGCTCTTTGTTGTTCTGATGGTTTTTACTAATCACTTCCATATTCCATGAATAAATTAAGTGGCAGTTTTTGTTTTTTTTTTACTCTAAAATATGTCTACTGCTTCTGAAAATTCTTTGACTAATTTCTGTACAGCTATGTTAATATTTGTCTATCATTTCTTTGCAATTTATTAGAATTCAATTTGAGTGATAAAAAGTAATGTGATTTATTATTTTAGATGGTATGACCCGTGTTGCCTACATCATAATGACTTGCATCAAAATGTTTCAGTCCCCTTCAATCTAAATAAAATTAAATGTTAGATTTGCTTGCATACTTGCTACACTAACGTCTAAGGGTCACTTCAGAGGTCAAATTCGAAACAACTCTAGACTTATTCACTTCAACAAATATACGATGATTTTGCAGGCGACAAATTGATTGATTGATAGAATTTGACCTCTGATGTGACCCTTTATGGGGTGTTGTTAGATGTTAGTGTAGCGAGTATGAGCAGGGTTTAAACTTAACTGAAATTTCCACGAGCCATGTGGGCTCCTGACTTTAAAAATTTAGGAGCCCACTGCTAAATTTGTTAGCCCACAGTCTCTGTGATTTTTTTAAAAAGCATAGATACTGGGACAAAAAGTAGATACAAATGAAATACATATATAAATTTGTTTGTTTAAAATTGGAGTTCTTACTTTTTAAAAATCAGATGTCATATAAATATTTAATCAAAGGAAATAAAATTGTATTCAATAAACATTTTTACTATCTTTTTTTTAACTTGGTAATACATGTATATATAAATACGTAGCCCTGGTACATGTCTTCCACTGATAAATTGACAATGACACAATAAGATTTTCTAGGTTAAATATTTTAACTACAACGTATCTGAAATAGGTGAAAACACTTACTATTCATATGACTGAGTAGTTGAGAGTTATTAAAATTGTATATTTCTCACGTATCAACCATTTACAGAGGGGTGGAGGAAATTCGGATTAGGAAAAAAGACGATCGTTTTAGGGAATTTCACAAATCGTGTAGTACTTTAAATGGAAAAGATGAAGGATATTTACGAACAATAGGACCATACTGCTGTGATTTTTTTCATTTTTCTTAGTTTAAATCAAAAACCTGCATAAAATGTCTGTTTTTCAGTAAGGGGACTGGGAATGAATTCGGCCCCCTGCAGAATTTTTATTCGCCACGTGGGCGAGCAACTTACAAATTTTATGAGCCCACACCAATTTTTACTCGCAATTTGCGAGTGGGCGAGCGTTAAGTTTAAACCCTGTATGAGAGCGGATCTAACATCTAATTTTAATTAGATTGAGTCCCCTTGAAATTATATGTACTTTTAAAATATGTTCAATTTGAAGGCATTTTTTGAAGAAGGAATTGTCATATTTTCTGCACTAAATGATGGAAAAATCAATTATAAAGAACAAATTCAATAGCTCCCTGAGTCATACTGGTATGACCTGGGCTGGAACAGTTTACACTGTTTATTAATTAAAACTGCTTTGCCTGTTTATAATTTAAACTGCCCCAACCCAGGTTATACAGTATAACTTAGGAGGCTATTAAATTCATTCCTGAAATTAAATTTAATTTAAATAATTCTTCAAAAGAGCAACAACAGAGCATGTTTGTTACAGTTGAACGGGTTCCCACACAAATTGTACACCCACCCTTCTGGCCCAGGCCTGTCTCTTTTTGTCTGGTCCTATCAGCTCTTCTTGGGACATGACATGAGCACCTGTGCTGCCCATAAACTTTCCTGGAAGGTTTTTGGACTGGGCCCAAAGACTAGCCTGTAAGAATAACAAAACAAAATGTTCAATGTTCAAATTGACTATAACAATGACATAAACACTCTTAGTACATAAACACTCATGTACTTACTTTTTCCTGAACTTTTCCTAGAGTTGTCATGGCCTCTATGTCGTGGGGATTCTCCTTCAATTTCTTGAATGCACTCAGTCTCTCCGAGATAATGGACCCAATATCCACTGCCTACAAACAATTTAAAATCATTTATGCCTCCTCTTTTCCCAAAATGCCATGAAAAAGGACAAAAGACAAATGTATATTGAAGTTGAATTTTATTGATCAAAATAAAGGTTTTGATCAATAAACAAAATTGTAGTTAATATAAGCATCAAAGGTTACCAACAAAATGGACAGTTGTTCCAATGAAATCTGTCACTTTGTCAACCCAAAGTAAGTACATGTAAACTATACTGAACATGTTGAAAGATTACATGTACATACAGCAGTAGTCAAAATTCAGGAAATCTCTGTCTCATTTATATACACTGAGTAAGTAACAAAGTCTCATTCAAGAATGAGGTGCAACAAAAATTAAGAGATATTTGGTATATATTAAAACACCACAATAATATAATAAGAATTATCCCATAGAATTACACACCACGGTGGGAGTCTCAGGAAATATCCTATCCTCAGGACGGACGGGGTTAGGTGGGACATCTACAGGTAGTGGAGCGGCGGAGGGAACAGGAGGTGGGGGCATCAGCACAGAATCTGAGGGGGTGGAGCTGCTGGCGATGGTGGTGGCCGGTGCTGAGGTGGTGGTAGTTGCCACGGCGGTGGTCTTCTCCACCGGCACCCACTCTGACTCCTTCTGGCGATGCGTGCTGCCACTGGAGACGGGAAACTGCAGTCGTAGATTTGCTGAGCCTTGGAGTTTTTCTGCTGGCGTTCTTATTGGCAGTGGTTTAGAATCCTACAAAATTTTGCTTATGTTAAAATGTCTCACTGCCATCTCTCCAATCTTACACTTTTATTTGTGACCGTAGGATGAGATAATAATCATAATATTTTTAACCATTTATTTCCTAATATGCAGTACTTGTCAATAAAAAACAAATTCTGAAAAAAATCTACATATATATTTATGGAATCAATAATGATTTTCATCAAATTAGAAGATATAAAACTAATTAACTGAATACTCACCCTAATGTTCAGTACAATACTGCTGGCATCCCTGACTTTAAATGGATGATGTATAAACTCCTCATCCTCCTCCTTTTTGTCCCCTGCCTCTTCCTCGGAGGATGAGGAGGAGGAGCTGTCTCGTCTGTGTTTTGATTTGGAGGAGATCCTCTTACAGAAATCTACACAATAGAAAATTTTTTAAAATTCAAAATTTAAAAAAAAAATTCTGGTTATGTATATTCAACAATTTTAGAATTTAATTATACTTTCAGCACATTGAAACAGCTGTTCTGCAGAACCAATCACTAATAGTTAAGTACACCTTTGAAATTACTGTAAACTACTTTTTTCTCAGGTTATCATAAATACAGTAATTCTGCACATTTACAATATCTGTTCAAAGTGCAGGTATAAAGTCTTGCATTTTTTTTTTTTTGGGGGGGGGTGTCATTTGTATGTCTATAAAATACCCTGTGACAAAATTTTGTAGAAAACTTGTTACCCCATAAAGAGGGTATATGAATCCAATACAAAAGAGTATATCTACAGTATATGACAATGACTATGAACGAAATGTACCTGTCAGCTCATCAATGGACTTTCCACCTGACTTAATGGCAGCCAGGTCAATGTTTGACACTTGTCCTGACTTCGCCATGGCAATGGCATTTTTTCTGTAATGAGGTATACATAATAAAACACAAATGTTTGCTTAGAAGTACAAACTAGGAAAACTCAAATACTGTAAAGCAAGTCATCTGGAAACCATTGGTTCCATAGAAAATGGCCAAATTAGATATTCAGCTTAGGTTACATTTTAAAGCATTGACTTTACTGAAAGGGACTTCAAGATTAATCATATTAGACATGGTTTTGGAATACACAACATCTAAATTATACAAACTTCAATGTATACATCCTGTGTCAATTTGCATTCAATACCTTTTTTTATGTAATGACATTTAAAATATCTTTTAAATCAATGATTATTGAATTGATATTTTAAAATTTTAAGTACAATCATGTACTTTTCCTTACATTGCAATTTCCCTTAGTTTGGCTTTGTCTATCTTGACTCTGAGATCTGCAGACATACGGAAAGGCCTCTCTCTGGATTTTGACCTTGACCTAGATCGTGACCTGGATCGTGACCTTTTGCTACGACGACCTCTGTCATCTCTGAAATCTCTGTCCTTGTAACCACTTCTCTCACGACCGCGGTCACGATCGTAGCGACGGTCTCTGTCTCTATCACTATTTTCACGAACCTTGTCCCTGAAATAATAAGCAGAGTCATTTAATGATTTTCTCCATAACTGCATCTTATTTACCTCTTTTTGCATTTTCCCTCATTTAACAGCGCTACCTACCTGTACTGATATGCATCATAGATATATTTACTGGATGAAGATGACCTTTCTCTCGACCTTGACCTGGATGATCTTCTCCTCTTTGGTGATCTGTTTAAATATCAGAAAAATAATGAAATTTCATTCATTATTCCTTTACAAAATGCATTCCAAAACATGTACCAACAAGCAAAGACAGCCACTTTATTGTTTAAATGTTTGAAATATAACTCACCTTGACCTTGACCTAGATTTGTGGGAATGTTTACGTTTGCTTTTGGATTCACTCTCAGACGGTTCTCTGCTTTTGTGTTTCTTCTTTTTCTTCTTCTTTTCCTTTTTCTTCTTTTTCTTTTTCGAGGACTTAGAGTCTTTGTCTGAGTCAGAAATGGAACCAGTTCCTGACACGTTGTCATTGTCATCGCTTTCGTCAGACTCTGAATTATCATCAGACGATGACACTTCACCTGTAATAGATAACATAAATATTTAAATAGCTGTTTTACATGTACATAAAGTAGAGCTCCCTAAGTAATAGTGAAATACACACCTCACAGTATAAAATTATCTAAATCTAAATATTGGAAATGTATTTTGTATCTTTACATTCACTCCAGATTCAAAATAGTTTGTGTTACATTCAAAACTGACATTCTTTTCTTTGTAATATATTCAAAGAAAGAAGAAAAAACATTTCAATATTCATTCTTGTGTATACTATATGATTACTATTACCAACTCTCTCATCACAATAGCATCAGGTCATTATATGTCTCTTACCATCCTCTAGATTCTTCTTTCCAATAATTTCCCCTGAAGAAATCATGTCGGCACTTGTCTTGGTGATTTTGAACTCCATCTGCAGTTTACCTCCCTTCTTTGTTCCTATCTGTACTTCTACTTTTGGTTTATCGCTGCCTTCCTCCATTTTCTTCCCTTCTGGCATCACCTCAGCTTTCTCACCATTGTTGGTACCTGATTTCTCTTTGGAGTCCCATTTAGAAGACTTCTTTTTGTCATTCTCCTGAGTTGCTGTGGCTATGGTGGAAAGTTCCTCATCCAAGAGTTTATTCATTTCCTCGACAGAACTGGCCACTCCCTCCCCCTCTTTCTTCTGCCCCTCCAGGGCCAGTTGTTTAGTCATTAATTTGTACTCTGATTCGATCTGTTTCATTTTTGATGCCAAGAAATCCTTGAAGAAATCATCCACAATATTCTGGGGCAAACCTGTCTCCGCATTCCCAACTTCTCTCAGCATTGATTCTCGTATGGTGGCTTGAAAGTTTGAGGGGGTGGGGATGGTGACTGAAGGGTTTCCTGGGGGAGGGGGTACAGGGAGAGGAACAGGGGATGGGATAGGTGATGGGTTAGCTTTGACTGTTTCCTTGGGAGGCTTCACAACTTTCACTTTCTCCGCAGTAACTTTCTTTTTTGGTGGGTTGACCTGATCTGGGATGGGAATGCTATCTAATGCTGGCGGGGGTGGTAAAGGAACATTTTCTATCTCAATTTCTGTTGTTTTTCCCATCACAGATGTGTTTTCTGAAGTCACTTTATCTCCATTGGTCTTTTGTTCACCTCTATTGTCTTTACTGTTTGCCTGCGATTTTGAAGGTGGGGCAGGTACAGGAATGTCATCTAGAGATGCAGGCATTGGTATATCAGTCTCTAACTTAACATTTTGAGTGTGACCTAGATTATCTTTTTCTGACTTCTCCCCTTTCCCAGTTTTTTTAACGCTTTTAGTGGCATCTTCCTTTGAAGTCTCTGGAGATTTCCTGCTAATTTTCACTTTAGAATCAGAAGCCCCTTCCTTCTTTTCCTCTTTCAAATTGGAAAGCTCTGCCTTCTTTTTTTCCAACACTTTCTGCAGATCCACACTATCCATTGATTCACCTCTGGGTGAACTCTCATAACCTTTGACCTCCTCATCCTTCTTTTTCTCTCTGTCTTTATCCTTGTGTTTATGTTTGTGTTTTTTCTTGTCTTTTTTCTTATCCTTCTTCTTCTCTTTCTTGTGTTTGTGGTGTTTTTTCTCACTTTTCTCTTTGACCACTGACCTAGATCCACTGGAATCTGTATGAATTGTTAGATCTTCTCCGATTATGCTTGACATGATTGCTCTAGATTTTCAGCTTCTTTCTTTTGTCTTTACACTTACTGATGCCTCTGGAACACTGCATTTGATTTTCAGTAACATGGTTATCATTTCCATCATCTTGTCAATACACTTAAAAATTTCATTGACTTCCACCTAAATAGAAATAAATAAACTTTTAAGGTCATTCAGGAAAGTAACTCTGTTTCATTTGAAAAAAAATAATAAAATCAGATGTTTCAAATTATTTTCTAAAAATGGACATACATCAGGCCATGAGAAAGATATTTGACTGATGTATTCCAACCCACTTCTTAAGATGTCAGCTATGAGAGTACTTGATAGAGGAAGAAAGGAATTTTTGAAATCTAGTTTTTTTTTCAATAGAGGTTATAATTTCAGGGATCACTCTGGATTTTAATGTTGAAATGGCCCATCAACATTAAAATCCATGGGCCATACGCCGGGGGTATGGGGGCCGCGTTAGGCCCCCATTGGGGTCCAGGGGCAACGCCCCGGTAGGGGGTCCAGGGGGGCGAAGCCCCCCGGGTAAAATCGATTTTCCATGCTATTTTGTGATGAATTTCAAGTAAATATGATGGGTCTTTGAGGGTTTTTAAATGCCATTTCTGACACAACCAATTTAATTTTTTTTTTTAATAAAATGAATAATATTATAAATATAAAATATTTTTTTTTTAAATTTCATCTCAGTACTGAAAAATGTCATATTGGAGAGTTAATTCCTCGCCCCTTGGATTTTATCGATTTAGTTCTCGAAGGTTGATGAAGAGCTAAATTATAAAGGATGCAAACTTACATGCACATTTCTCTACTGAATATACCTGGGGCAGTTGCAGATTAAATTTGGTTCAAATGGTAGGGACTGGTTTTGTATGCAAAGAACTAGGAGCAAAATAGGCAAAAAAATTAAATGAGAAAATTTTTATTTGTTTGCAAAACATTTTAGTCCCATCTGATCAAATTCCAACCACGGATGCAAAGTTAGCCACTTGGACTGGAAATGACGACCATCGTTGCCGTTGACATCAGGAGTCAACGTCTTGGACTGTTCTTCTTAATCAGAGACCTCTGCCGAGTCTGGGAATTAAAAAGTTTCCGTCGTTTCATTTGTAAAACAAACGAAAGCTTTCGTTGTTTTGGGTCAGTTGGGCCCAATACCGATCCTCGCTTTGGAGGCATTTCGGGCAAGTGTCTGGACACACAATGAGTAACTTGTACTTGTTTTGTTTCGAAATAAATAATCAAAGTTTTAAGAAATATTATTAGGACATATTACTTACTGGAGTATTACTTTCATATGTTTATTATTTAAATCATTACATAAAATTTTAATAAATATAATTGACTCAGTATTCGGTAAAAAATTTCTAGTAGCGTAATCTAAACGAAGGAAATATTCCATGTACAACTCCGATTTTAGTCTTGATCAACCAGACGCTCTGCTGGTAAAGAACATACGCGACTACAAAGAGTCTGATTGAACGAAGTAACAGTATGCTCAGATACGACATGAATACAATCAGTCAGCTTAAAAACGGTCCTAAAATGCACCAAGATAAGAGTTTTGACCCACAGTTTTGCATCTTATAGCGCCATATCTGTAAGACATGCGCCAGACTGACCCCTTTCTAATTTTTTAGTGCGCCATTTACAAATATTGAGCGCCAATGGCGCTAAGGCGCGGCCCAAAGTGATCCCTGTAATTTGGAGAAATTAATACAGGACCAAGCACAACTTTTTGCACAATTATATTTTTTTTTTCTATGGTTGGCACTGTAGCTCTCTGGTTGTCCATCGCTGTTATTTTTTTATTTTCAGACCAGCTACCTGCAGATAAAGTAAACACATATCTACCATACCAGTTTTTTTTTTTGTCAGGCCAAGGGCATTTATAAGAACACAGGCACCATTTCATCATTAAGTTGCAAATAAAATTCTAGATCAAAAATCGTACCCTTCTACAGGTTGGGACCAATCGCCCAAATGGGATATAATCGTCCGTTTCGGATATAACATCCAAAATGGGCTACATATTTACAGTGCAAAAATTGAAATTTTTTAATTTTAGCTATAAATATCATAAATCTGCATCAGGACTCTTATAAAGGAATAACTTTTGGTTAACAAGTTTTTCTGTATGCCCATTGTTTAGGAGATTGATCCGTCGGAAGCTCCTTAATTTCTTGGGGATCAGTCTTAACCGTAGGGTTGCAGAAAAACTTGCTTACCAAAAGTTATTCCTTTTTAAGGGAAGTGTTTTGATGCAGATTTATGATATTTATTGCCAAAATAAAAATTTTCAATTTTTGCACTGTAAATTTATAGCCCACTTGGGATATTATATCCCAAACAGACTATTATATCCCACAGGTCCAGCACAATACCTTGATAAAGGTATATAGCTTGTTAAAGCTATATAGCTTTATCAAGGTATTTAAAATACCTTAATCAAGGTATTTTGTGTGATGAAAATACAAAAAAAATTCTTTAAAAATGAAATTAAAAAATCGAATTATGAGTTGTTGTCAGTGTGTTCACTCGTGCATGAAAAGTACTCAGGTATTGAAAAGACAACTTGAAAGAACGTCTTCAGCCGCGCCGAACGTAAAAAAAGTATCATTCCAATTGAACAAGTCATCATCAGTGGTATAATTAAAGTTGGAACGCAGTCCCGATATGGTAAGTGAAATTTTTTATCATGTATATAATGAAAGAAAATATTAAACTAAAAGTTTGATAGCAAGACATGTTTTTCAACAGAAAATCATAAGTCAAAGCTGTGCATGTTCGGTCATAAATGACAGTTAAGTGTAAACAAATGTCCATATTGTTAATAAAAAAGTTTGACAGCACTCACAACTTTCTGCTTTGATTCCACAATGGCTCCTTTTTGGCCTAAGTCAAGCTAGCGGCCAATAACGCTAGCGGCCAATAACAAAACATATTTATGAATTTTAAGTTTATCGACTAGAAAAATGTGTTTCTCGAACCCGACGCAATAACTATGATTAATTAATTAAAAAACATAGCGCCCAAACTAGGAGTTGTGCCACATAGGGGAGCCCGGGACACTAGGGCTCGAAGGCGCCTCTGTTGATTTCCGGTGTCAGAAGGGACCCAATTTACACCGTTTCTGGGCGCCAGGGCGCCAAATCCAACCCTATTCTCGGATACATATAGGTACTATAGGGGTCTAGAGACGGCGCCTGGCGCCCAAACTAGGAATTGTGCCATTTAGGGGAGCCCGGGACACTAGGGCTCGAAGGCGCCTCTGTTGATTTCCGGTGTCAGAAGGGACCCAATTTACACCGTTTCTGGGCGCCAGGGCGCCAAATCCAACCCTATTCTCGGATACATATAGATACTATAGGGGTTTAGAGACGGCGCCTGGCGCCCAAACTAGGAATTGTGCCACATAGGGGAGCCCGGGACACTAGGGCGCGAAGGAGCCTCTGTTGATTTCCGGTCTCAGAAGGGACCCAATTTACACCATTTCTGGGCGCCAGGGCGCCAAATTCAACCCTATTTTTCGGATACATATAGGTACTATAGGGGTCTAGAGACGGCGCCTGGCGCCCAAACTAGGAATTGTGCCACATAGGGGAGCCCGGGACACTAGGGCGGGAAGGCGCCTCTGTTGATTTCCGGTCTCAGAAGGGACCCAATTTACACCATTTCTGGGCGCCAGGGCGCCAAATGCAACCCTATTTTTCGGATACATATAGGTACTATAGGGGTCTAGAGAGGGCGCCTGGCGCCCAAACTAGGAATTGTGCTACTTAGGGGAGCCCGTGACACAAGGGCTCGAAGGCGCCTCTGTTGATTTCCGGTCTCAAAAGGGACTCAATTTACACTGTTTCTTTGCACCAGGGCGCCAAATCCAAGCCTATTCTCTGATAATCTATGCACTATAGGGTCTAGAGAGGGCGCATGGCGCCCAAACTAGGAATTGTGCCACATAGTGGAGCCC